ATTTTCATGGCAGGTTACTAAGCGAAATACAACCACAACGTTGCTAAGATATTTGCAAAACTCTGGACCGCAGGTGTCTATGGTGGGGAACGAACGCACTATTATCCTTTCCGGGTAGTAACGCGAAACCCCGCTGACGGGTGATTGCTGTGGCAAAAAGATCGATAGAAATAGCTGAGAGACGAACGCGCTATTGTCCTTTCCGGCGAGTAACTCGTTCACCACCACACCATGCGGGTCCTTTGTTTCGCCTGTCTCTCAGCTATTTCTATCGATCTTTGCCACAGCAATCACCCGTCAGCAGGATTGAGAGACAGGCGAAACGAAGGACCCTCATGGTGTGGTGGTGAACGAGTTACTCGCCGGAAAGGACAATAGCGCGTTCGTTCCCCACCATAGACACCTGCGGTCCAGAGTTTTGCAAATATCTCAGCAACGTTGTGGTTGTATTTCGGTATTTACTTTTAAATTCCTTCTCAGATGATGGGCGAGAAAGTGAAACATCTTCAAGATGCTTCTTCGTTATCTCCACATCTAACTGATGAGGAATTACGACAAACTCTCCACCCTTATCACTAACGGATAGTCTTATGGTTTTCAACCATATCAGGCCTCGTACCTCTCCCATACCACGTTTTGCACTTCAGTGAGGTTTGAGCTGTACCTTTTCGCGCGATAGTGATTAAGGACTTTGACAGTTTCATTCGCAAACATCCGAAAATTAACATCAACTTCATTATTGGGCTCTTGTTGTCTAAAGAACGGAGGAGGAAATGGTGCTATTGGTAAGGCCCCCACTTGGTGTTGTTCGCACCTATTTAGCGCTTGATCTCTAGCTTTTTTGCAGAGTCTATCTTGAACTTCATGTAAACCACATGCGAACCTGGGGAAGAATGCCTCATTATCACGCGTGATATAGGGCAGTATATAAGACTGTTATTCTGATGGGAGTAGCACATTATGCTTCCATGTGATTTCTGTGCGGTTGGTCTTCACGCGACATACTTAGTGGAAACCTCATAGAAAGCGGTGCGTGTGCAAAGCTGTGTTCAAGGTGATTGAAATCTTGGTTTAGAGTTTCTTTGTTTGGTTATGGAGGTGTCTGGCCGAATGGATTGCTACCAACTTGACCATTCCAGGCTCTGAGGAAGGCGAAATCCGCCGAAACGTCAGCTTATTCGTGAATAAAGGATAATAACACCTCGCGTTTGCTCAACAAAAATACGAAGAATTAAAATATTCTGATTGTTAAAATACAGCTCGTGGAATAACATCGTTCCAGAAAGATTAGAATAACAAAGAACACCCTAGGTACAAGAATTATGCTACATCTTACTTGGATACTTGAACGGCCCCTCTTCACTGATTGTGCGGGCCTCAGCATAATCTCCACTGTTTCGGAGTTTTGCTAGTTTAAGCATTCTGTTTCACTGGAATCCCAAGGTCAGCCTGGCTAAAGTCTGCCCCAGGTCCTCATCACCCCAGGCAGTCACTGCCCTTGTGGATCAGGAGATTTGCCACCTTGCGACTAGTTTAATACCAGGACGGTGACGGATTCCGGTATTGGTTTACTCTTTAGCTGCACTTCCTGATGGAAACGCCAGACTCGCTCTCAGCTTGGGAGGCCATGCCGGGGGGACCGATCCACCCGCCGTATATCGCAGTCTAACACCTAGAAACACCTCCCAACCACGATGAGGCGGTAAACTGTTGGGAAGTATGGCACATCTACTAACGAGTAAATTCTGGTAAATGAAAATGTCGAAAACACTTAAGCACTCTGTACCTTCTGGAATACTGGAACTTCGTAAGAAGTTCTAGTAATGTGGAACGGTCGAAGTTAGAATAAATGAACGCCTAAAAATGGGTGGATTCATTGACGGACCTCTGTCACGGCATTTCATGGTGAGATCACCGACCCCAAATAGGCTATGTTCTATACTTTAATTGTGATGTGAATTGTTACGACTGTAGTTTTCTTTCCGCAAGTGTAGTTTCGAATTCAGTTCTGATTTATCCTTAAATTTTGTTACGCTTCAAGAACGTTTTAAAAAAGTGCGAATCTCTCAGTAAAGCAAAAGGATGCACTACAATGAAGATTCTCCATGACATCAATTTTATAACAGTTGATTACTGATAGCCACAATGATGCTGAGATATTTGCAAAACTTGGACCCGACTGCAGATTAGAACCTGTGATTACCCTTTTCGGAGGCTCATCTGTTACGCACTGCACCACTGAGACCATTGCTTTGCCTTTATCTTAACTAGTCTTTTAGCCTATAGGTGCCATCAGCAGCCACCCGACAACGGGAACGATCTGGGGTGCAAAATCGGCATTGAGCTCAGCTGAGCTGGAGGTGCAGCCAAATAACTCAACATAATTGTGGTTGTATTTCACATAATACCCTGCTGTAAAAAAGTATAGCGTTATAAGAAAGCATTCTCAATCTTCTTCAGTGAGATTTTCTAACGCGACACCTTCGTTCAACTACTCTCTATAAGCCGATACGAGGAGGATATACTATATCTCTGAACAACCTCTTGTTAAATTAATTATTTTACGGATTTTTTATTGTTACCTAACCAGAAGAAAAAAAATTGCGATGGTTAACGATTACGAATTGGTTATGTGATATGATAAAAAGCGCGCGTTGATGATGCAGGGGTGAATACTGTCGTGCAGCGAGCTGAATAAGCTGCAGTTGTTATTTGCTGAAATCTGGTGCTGATTATAGCTGCTGAGTGAGATTTATGGCATATTCTACAAGCTCCTACCTCGAGACAGTTAATTATGTACTCTGACAAAAAAGATGATAAGTGGTTTCAGAACGAGTCAGCGCTGAATGCAAGCTGTACGAATTATCTCCGGAGAGATTTCTACTTCCCATCCAGTGTGTATACAAGTTAAGCGAGATTTCTTATGCCGTATAGAACAAGCAGTTCTTATTGTGGCAAAAAGAATCCAGCTAGAGAAAGATCGTACAAATGCTCGACCAAGAACGTGAATGGGTGGTTTGAGAAGATACTCCATGTTACACGCCACATCCTAAAACAAAATAGTAGCAATCCCAGACCGCCACAACAATGGTCTAGCGCCTTCGTGATTATGGCGAAGTACTTACTTGGATACATGGATGGCCCGTCTTCACTAGTTGTGCGAGTCCCAGCATAATTACCATTTTTTCAGGGTTTTTCTGGTTAAACATTGTGATAACCTGGAATCCCGAGGTCATCCTAGCCACAGTCTGCTCGAGGTCGTCACCTCCACAGGCAATCACCGCCCTTGTGGATCAGAAGGAGATTTGCCACCATGCGACCAGTTTGATACCACGACGGTGGTGGATCCTGGTATTGGTTAACTCTTAGCTGGGCTTTTTGATGGAAACGACGGACTCCTTCTCCGCTTGGAAAGCCCTGCTGGGAGGATGAATCCCCTCACTATACACCGCAGCCCGACACCCGGAAACACCTTCCACCCACTATGAGGATTATGATCCTACAAAAACCATTGGGAGGATTATGGCGAAATAATCTCAGCAACTTAAACCCTAAGCATTTGAAAAAATTCTTGTCTCCACTGAGTACTCCTCACTGTTTCTCTCCGTACGTCATTGAAACGAAATCGAAGCATTATGCGTGGATATGAAGTTTTGCAGAAAAAAAATTGCATTGGAGAAATAAAACGGACGCCTAGACCCAAGAAATATGCCCTGGTTCACCCGCAATTTTTCTATTCATTGTATATGATCAAAAGTGAAATACCTATATGTAGCACTCCCAGAAAAGCCGCTCGTTCAACAGACTTGAACCGCTTCACAATTTTATATGATGCTCTTTGTTATAGATTTGTTTTGAGCTTAGGTATCTTTGCTGCTGGAGGATTGAACCCATACTACACAATGCAATTGGACATACCTTACAGGGAAACCATTTAGAGCTAAGAATGCGACCTAGAAGAGAATTAAGAAGTAGAGCTGTCTGCGTCTAACACACCAGATGATATCACATACAATGGTTAACTCTATGAAAAGTCAAGCAGTGGCTGGTATACCAGAAAGGAATAGAATGAGAAGAATAACCACCATTAACTCGACATAAAAACAATCCAGCAGACGGCCAAAATTCACTTAGCAAATCGCCGCGGTTGCTAAGGTGAGGACTATTGAATTTAGCGTGCCCGACTTTTCTAAAAAGAATTCAGCAGGAAACATGCACAAAAGTGGAGATAGTATCACCCAGTCATAATTTTGCTTCATTCATTTTCACACTCAAAAAATAATAATACTACCAACAACATGGACGATTCATGTCACACTCCCTTTCGACACTAGAAGAAAAAGCTTCAAAAGTTCCATTAGAAAACGGCAAGTTTTCTCGGTTAAGCAGTCGCTGATATACCGGAAATGAATAGCACGAGAACGAACTAATGGGCTACGAAGTGAAGTCCTAGCTTGCAAGCCTTGACAAAAAAGAACCCTACAATGTCAACCAACAATCCGTTTCATAAAATACAGTTCACTGGATTTCTTGATGGTTGATAGCATCCACATAGTGATTAAGTCACCTTGAACATTTCCTGAGAACAAGATGTCTTAATTCACACTGATGAATTCAAATTAAATCTGCAACTAAGTTGAAACGTAGGTGGCCACGGAGCCTCCAGATTGTAAGGGCATTCCAGACAAAAAAAGGTAGTTTATGGTGGTGTAGTGGATGGTGTAGTGGTGAAGTGCGCTGCTCCCCGGTAAGGACAACAGCGCGTGTTCGTTCCCCACCGCATACACCTGTAGTCCGGAGTTTTGCAGGTATCTCAGCACTTCATACGAAAAGGTAGTTTAGTTAAGAAGAATTTTACAACCAGCATCTAATCTCCGAGTTATATTTGCAAGTCATCCAAGAACACAACCCGAAAACTTCTGAAAAAAAAACAACGCAACGTGGAATCCTTACGTAGAAAGTGAATGTTGACGATCGGTAACTTCATCTCTCCTTCGTTGCTAAGGCAAAGTCAAATCATGCATCATTTCAGTGGAAAGACTGGATAATTTTGAGCGTCCATGTGTCTGAATCCAATTCATATTGATCCAAGGATCGGTCTGAATCTCAAAAGAACCATGTTTACGCAAAAAATAAAAGGTTTGTAGCAGATAGTCGGCTTCAGAGCGTTTCTTGCGTGGTGGTTGGGGGCGTCCTGGAATACACACTGGATTGATCCTGCATCTCAGGCTTACCAAGCCTTCCATCTCTTCGGCGTGGGCATCGAATTCGTACTCGACCCATCTAGACCCGCCTGTGAGGATAGAAGCACTGGCTCGATGCATCGGTAGGCACCGAGATTCATTGTAGAGACCAGATATACACTGAATCGTCCCTAACGAAACTTGATGAAGTCGAACGCGTAGCGCATCCTTCAGGTATTCATCAACGCTGATGGTTTTATCCTTCATGTAATATTGGGCTAGTTGCGTCGCCCTCGCGTGGACGATGGAGTCCCACTCGTAACAGCATGGCTCTAAGGAAGGCGAAATCGCCGAAACGTCAGCCATCTACCAACAACAAGAACAACAACAACAACTTATATCAACCTCATATAAACTCAACAAGACCAGTTCATAAGAATATCACCTGTATCACCTGTAGTCCCGTTGATCGTCAAGCGACTCGAACGGGCGCCAGTAAATCTTTCATTTTTACCTGTCACGCTTAAGAGCAGCGCAGTAAGATCTGCTCGCTCAAGGGAGACCTCGAGCATCATATCATCTGTTTAGGCTTTTCGTGAAGAACTCTGACTATCGAGTCGGTGGTCTTCCTGCAGTGCGTTTAACATTTTGAGAAATCCAGCCACCAGCCGCTCTTGTCCACTGGTTGTCACTCATACGCATTAAGTATCCACCCCATCTTATCTTCAACTGTCTGGCGTACAGAATGGCACTTTTGATTTTTGGCTGTTGAGCACTTTTGATTTTTGGCTGTTGACGCAGGTCGAAGCTTCGAATCCCTTTCCTCACTTGTGTGAAACGGAACCCTTAAAGCATCGCCCTTTCGACTGCGCGTTCAGGCTAAGTAATCTTTCATCCTGCTGACGCATCGACCAGGTTTCTGACACACACGATGGCCGGAAGGACCGAAAAGGTGGGCACGGAGTCGGATGTTCTTTGTCCTCTTTACTCTATCTTCGATGCTCTTGAGAGCTCCCCAAGCCGCTCGTTTCCTTCTGCTCAACTCTGGAGCTAAATCGTTCAACATATTGACTTCCCTACCTAGGTAGAGCTAGTTGGAGCATTCGGAGATGTTCGTTCCGCTGAGCGTGAATGGAGCATACGAAACCAATCCGCTCCTCATAAACATCGTTTTTGTGAGATTTAGCTGAAGACCAATTCTTCCACATGCTCTATCAAGGTCGACGAGCATGCACTCCGCTTGTCTAATGTTTAGTGTTATAAGGACGACGTCATCAGCAAGGCGTAACTGCCGACCATCGATTTTCACTCCCATATTCACTACCCATACCATTCCAATGTCCGCATGACGTTCTGGAGGGTGGCGGCAAACAATTTTGGTGACATGGTGTCGCGCTTGCCTAACTCCTCTTTCGACATCAATGACAATATCGTTGTAGAATGGTGATATCTTCGTTGTGAAATTCTTGTACAGCTCACGAAGAATCTTTATTTACTGAGTAGGGACTCCTTGACCATCAAGGGCTTCCATGACTGCTTTTATCTCGATTAAATCAAAGGCCTTCTGCAAATCGACGAAAGTGAGCGAGCAGTATTTTGTACTCCAGCGGTACTTCAATGAGTCTTGTTACGGTGTGGATGTGGTCCATCGTACTAAATCCTTTTCGAAACCAGGCTTGCTCATATGGCTGTCCTTCGCCCGGTGTTCTCTCAGTCCTGTTTACGATGTCTCGAGTGAAAAGTTTGTAGACACAACAGACAGCAAGCAGATTGGGCGATAGTTGCCGATATCGTGCAGATCACTCTTCTTGAACAATAACACGGTCTTGCTGGTCTTCTAATTAGTAGGGACCTCGCATTCAGACGGGTAACGCGTGAAGAGCCGAGCCGGTGTGTTTGCGAGGACTGGTGGAAGGTTCTTCAGGTGTTCTGACATTGTCCTCTCCGGACCTGGTGCTGTTCGATCTTTCACCGACGAAATGGCATTTCGGATTCCGGAAGGGAGAACCGGTGGTACAACATATCCATCCTACTTTATTTCATATGACCAAAGGTGTACGCGGCTATCGAAGAGATCTGGGTAGTACTAGTGAATGATTTTCTCCATTGCCTTTCTGGACGCTGTAACTGTTCCATCTGGGCGTCGGAGTGCAATCATCTTGGTCTTGGAATTGGCGAAGCTTCGGTGGGCGTTTCGAATGCTTTTCCCAGTCTCTGCAGCTTCGATCATTACTGCTGCTCTTCTGTCTTTAAAATCTTCTTTTATCCCCTGTCTGCCTTGCTTCGCAAGTTAGGACGTTAGTTCACGGTTGCTTACAGCTCGTGCGATTCCACGCTGGCGTCTCAGCTCGAGTCTTTCTGGAGACAGACGTCTCTTGGTGACTTTCGAACTCTGAGCTTTCATAGCGCTAGCGTGAAGATGTTGAATGAGTGGATCGTGTTCCTCGTCGATGTCGTCGACAACGGCATCTTCCCAATAGCCGACTAATGAATTGAATAAATCCCAGTTTGTGGTGGCAGTTTCTGAATTTAGCGACTTTTTCTCCTTTTCGCGAGAAATAGAATCTTGCACGGAGACGATGGCCTGATCCCGTGTGGAATTTTGGGACAACTGCGACATTGGTTAGGCAAAACCTTCTATTTGCTATGATGTGGTCTATTACGTTATGGTACTCTCCACTGGGAGACTCCCACGTCCAGCGCCGAGGGTGTGGTTTTTGGAATTGTGAGTTACTATGGATTGTTTTGGTCGCCATGATAAACTCAGACAGCCGCTTATCCTGTTCGTTCCATTCTAATCCGTGGGTCCCAATGTGACGTTCTTCAGACGTTCTTCTTGGTCCAATCTTGGCGTTGAAATCTCCAATGATGACGACCTTGGAGAATGTATGGTGTTCTCTGTAGAACTTCTCCAAGTCCATATGAAACGCTTTGACTTCTTCTTCGTCATAGGTTGATGTCGGCGCGTAAACGACGAACATTGTCAAAGCCGGAATTGATTCACATCTTCTTAATCGTAAACGTCCGATTCGGGTTGTAAGTTGTTCGAATGAATCGATGTTGCTGGACAAACTCGTGTTGACGAGAATGCCGACGCCGCCGATTCCTCTACTGTCGCATGTTCCGAGGAACAGTTCTTCATCGGTGTCATAGACGGCGTTGAAGGCGTGGCGTCTTCTCGTCTCGGCCAGGCCGATGACCTCGTGCTTTATCCTTCTTGCTTGCATGGGTAAGTCTTCTATCCAGGACTTGGATGCAAGTGTGCGTGCATTTTAGGTAAAGATCGGCACCGTGGTTCTTTTAAATCCAGGCAGCTTCCATTAGCCCTGAGATTTTAGCGGCCTCTCCGTACTCGTCCTACCCAACACTGCGAAATTGGAGGCTGTTTCGAGGTCACCGGAATGAGGCCCGTTTTTTTTCAGTGTTTAGCATTTTTGATACCTACGTATAGCTTACTGGGTTCTGAACGCAGGAGCTGGGTATACTCACGGGTAGCTTGCCAGACTCTCCCAGAGTGGACATGGAGCTTATTTGTTGGAGACGACTCCTAACCGCTTCCCATATACCTCCCTGTCACTTGATTGCAGGTTTTTGACCGAATTGACTCGTAGAACACAGTCTGCATAAACTAGAACGCACCCACTCACGCGTGCATGAATACTCCTCGTAAATACAGAAAGTGTGTGCCAAATCTGCGCAGCAGAAATAGGAAGTCCACCCCCTGGATCCACCTGCATCTCAGAAAAACAAAGGTCGCTTTTGGTCCGCGATTAACCCCTTATACGCTACCTGAGGGCGCGCCACGTAGCCTCGCGACTAACCGGCTATCGGGATCCCTCATGTGAGGGAGATCCGTAGCATAATAATATATAGATAATTACATCAATTATTTATCCCGACGCTTGTAGAAAGTCGGTCTTTTGAAATTTTTGTTCTCATCTGCCGAAAATGAACCGATGAAATTAGGTGCATTCATAAGTTGGACTTCTAACCTGAACTTACACATTTCACCACTCAGCAGGAAAATGAAGACACAACAAAGTAAATCCCAGGTAAGCGCTCAAACTTGTTAACATTTGCTCATATACCCTTAGAAGAAAACACAACGTTCGATCCCGTTCTGAACTTAGGACCGCACGGCAAGGTCCATCCACTCATTGCTGTTTGTTTGTTCACGAAATTATTCACGCACTACTGGAACAAAAAAAGATTACGTAGATGCGATTAGAAACATAAATAAGCCTCCCATTCATGTGAAATTCTCCGGAAGTATCAATCGGAATGCTACAGCCGACAAACATCACAGCTAATGCATTTATTCCGACATATATGTTCGCATCAGATATATTTGGTGAAATATCGCATAAATATTGACGAATGGATCATCGTCTCAAGCACAGACTGACTTTTTTGAGTGGAATGTGCTCATTTGGGTTGAGGCAAAGAGAAAAAGAGCAACAGAAGATGAGGGATGAGCAATGAACGCGGGAGACTTTTGAAAGCAGCATACGGCTAGTATTTAGGGAGGCTATTGCGGCTTGCCACATCGTACTACACTGCGTGGGTCACTCAGGAGCTCCAGTTCGTCAGGAGCTCAAAAGAACCATATTCGTTCGTTCGTATAGGTGCACGGAATTAATCAACTACAGAAGGGTCTCCTAACTTAGAAGCTGGCCGAAGCTTGAGCAGTAGATTGCCTCGACTATACATCTTTGTGCAAAAATGTTTCATTACTATCACTTTTAGTATAATCATTACTATTGCTGTCACTTCTAGTCAGCGCTTCATTAGATTGCTGTAAACGATTACCACAGAAGTTTTACATAATACGTCTGTTTACACCTACATCAAAAAAGGAGCAGAGTGTCACCGTGGGGATGACTGGAATCAAAATCGCTTGGTGGAACGAACGAATCTAGTTCGTGCTTTTCCAAAACGGCACTATTAAGCCTTGGACTTATCAATACTCGTGCATGATGCAACACACTAAAAGCATTTGCAATGATTGTCACCGTCATCCGATCAATAAGCATAGTTCTAAACTAAGCCACGTCGCTCGGGTTTGCCCTGAGCCGTTCAACAACAACAGTAAATAAATTGGAAATCACCAGTAGGAAGAATTTAAGCTACAAAGAAAGCAATGGAGTTGGCAGCCAACAAGAACAGTACTTCGAAAGTTCCAAGATGATTGCTTCGTGTGAGCAGTTGAACAGAAAGCAGAGACAACACAGTTCATTATGGTAGAGAAGAAATAAAGATACTAGATATGAAGTCCTAGAATAGCAATGCCGATCGGCTCTCAAAGTGACAGATCAACTCGCTGTGTCGGATTAACATGGTCAAGAGAGAGAACTGGTTCCAACAGTAAACTAGAAATTCACAAGAAATCCGTTACTAGGGTATTCTAACACTTCGTGACATTCCCAAATAATTCGGGATTTAAAGCAGTAATGAGAGGGAGCTCGTGTATTGAAGGAGTACAACAATAACAACGGAATCGACTCAATACGTCGAGGATTTTGAGATATAAATAATAGTTCGAATAATATACATATTCCAAATAACGTTAACAGCACCGCGTCAGAGACACCAATGCGCCAATAGACCAACTGTTGTGTCGGGGATTGCGCATATTTACACCAATATCGGGGCTGGGGAATTGTGGTACCTCCCAGCTGCGACCTATCGACGGGCCAACTCAGCTCGGAACGCTTCGATGATGTCCTGCTTTGCCTTATTGATCTCCAGACGAACTTCCACCATGAGATCGGCTTTGAACCTGCAGAAAAGAAAGAATGCAAATAGGTGGCGGTTAGATTTCTAAAAAAAAACATCAAAGACGGTGTAGTCCATTTACAATGAAGCACTAAGGCTATTAAAAAATCTCATATGAATGGATATGAGAAATTTCATTTCATGACATATTTTTAGAGTAAAATATATTTTATTAAATCTCCGGATAACAAGGACTAACGCAAGGCGGTTTGTTTATCGGAGAATTCACTGAGAATGATGATTTAAAGAGTAGTAAAAGAGCATGTTTTCGCAACGTTTGGATTAAAGGAAGTAATGAAGCAGACCCATTGAAAGGAAACGGTTCTCATAAACGCTTATGAGCAATACACATAAAAAACGTATTATCAACTATAACAACTGATGTAACATTTGAAACTAGAATCCCTTCAGAGACGAGTTGACACAATTGTCACCACGGTAAGCCAGTCAGTCACTCGTATTAACTTTCCGCAATATTACATTACTTCGAATAACCACTGCCTCGATAAATTTTAGTTCTATTTTTATACGACTCGTTTTCACGTCTACTTTGTTGATCAGAACACTTCCCACATTCGATTCGTTTGCACGCATGCACTGTCCACGAAGATCTTCCAACTTTTACGCGTGGTTTTGGCTATTGCCTGAGGATTTTCATTTCATCTAAAATGTTGTAGAATACTGCTCGAGTCGATTCTTCCTAAAGTCCTGACGCAGTGATTTTTTGCCCGGACAAGTCCGGTACCTATTTCCCGGCCCCGGAGGGATGACAGGCTTGGTTGGCCCGAAGAAGAATCGAACTAGCACCATGCTCGTGATGACCGAGAGCACTACCGCTGTGCTTTCCGCCCCTACTACATGAATTATATCTGAAAGAACAAAATATGCCACACCTCTCCAAAAATTCAGCAGTAACGGTATTTCCAACCACTGATACTCCATTTGACTTGACATCCTCCTGTGAAGAAATCGACGACCCTGACGGAACCCTGAAAAATTAGGACAACTTCATTAGCTATAACACCGTATAGATGAGGGTACAATTCGAATTTTTGATTTTTAAAACCAACTTTTTATGAGTTTTTGGACTTTCGCTATTCCCATTCGTTTTCACAGGTTCCCATTTTCTCGGTGCATTTCCTCCATTTGGCGCTGCAAAACCGTTAACAGGTGGGATTGTCCCGCATCCGCTATCCGATGAACCTAAAAACACAGGATCTTACTGATCCCTTCATAATATGATAGATAGGGGCAAACAAAAAGGCCTCACCATTACTGGCGTTAGATTTTGAATCAACCGCATCCGCTTTGGCTTGAGTAATTTTCTTTTTGTTGAAAGTAGCGGCTAACTCCGATAGCAAATCACCATGTGAGGAACCCGGAACTAAAGTGCATTTCAAATGTCTATAGTTATACCCAAATACTAAATATTCTAACAAATTTATGCAAAGTTTAACCGTCATGTGTAGTAGATAAATATCAGCTAAGTAAACAAAAGATGGATGATATAATTCACAAAAAGAAGTCCATGAAGAAATCTAATTAGGAATCCAGAACGGAAAAATAGCGTCACATACTGCTGGAAATGACTGAATTCGCAGGTGATGTAGACTCAGCAATAGACACCGAACGACCCTTCACAGCACTGTTCGTTTTTCTTAACTGCGCCCCTCGCAGTTGATCAACCAAACTGCAAAGTACTTGTGTTTAATACGCGATTACAATAAAAAAAAAGACAGTTGCATCTTGGAATGTGATAAAACCAGATGATGAAAAAAACACAAAGCAGTCCAGGAAAGAAATCACGCCAATACCATTGCTCCTTCCCCACTTTATAAGCCAGTGTTCTTCTAAATTAAAAAAACAACAATTTACCGATTTTTTGATGAGCAAACAAGAGGTTGTTATATGGTTTATGCAGTCACTCGCATAATTTTGAAAGGAGCTCCAAAACTCTTCAATCACTACCGCGAGAAAATTTCGGTTCCAACATTATGGCAGCATGGAAACGTGGCATGCTTTAGGTCAGAGAGCTAACAATTCCAGAAACCACTAGAATACCAGTTAGTGATAAAGGTGAAGAATGCGTCTCTATTCATCGTTAGACTGGAATGGAATTCAAGAAAAGAGAATGGGTCAGAGTGGCAAAAGTGGCAGGCTTAAACCACTAGTTATTCCTTGACTTAAAATCCAACTACCAAGGTGTCTTCTTTATATTCGCCCATTAAAACGCACAGCATAGTAGCCACTGATTATCTTGCGCATAACAATTCATCACCCTTTAAGCTTGGACCCATAATCAGCTTTGTAAACGGGCCAACGGATAGAATGCCTTCGTTCTCATCCAACTGGTGAAAGACACAGCAGTCTATCCTAAGAATACCCGAATGTTCCTGGATTACCAATATAATGCATATCCTAACAGCGAGTACGTGAAGTTTTTCCATGTTATGGCACTTTACGCAAACGTGTCGAATGACTCTGCAATGGAAACTCTCATCGAACTTCCTTTGCAACCAAAGGAATGACAAGGACGTACAACTTCTCGATTCGGCAGCTCATGGATCCAAAAAAAGCGCTTAAACTGCTCAACGTTTATATGGTCCGGAAAATATTACATACAAACAAGGGGTTTGGAAATTGCACAGAGACTACCACCAAGACTTTCCATCGCGCTGATGCCTAAAAGAGAAGCCACAGTTCTCGTCTCCACTCAGTAATCTACTGCAGATCTCTCACCACTAACACACAAAGAGGGCGCTTGTGAGAAGCATTCTTCGAACAACTATCACTATGTACGGTTTATTTCATTCCCTCTAAAAATCCTGGGATGAATAAATTGGTGAGATTAGACCACTCTGTATCCGCATAAAAGAACACCAAGTCGGCAAACTTTAAGTTAAACCAAATACTGCATTAGACGCGCATAACGTACAAAGACATAACGGGGAAGATTTTGAAGTAGAAGTTACCATTCTTGCACAGAAATCAAAACCACCAGCGCGCAAAACTCTTGAAACGTTTTGGGTAAATTGCGAAAACCCACACACAAACCGCAAGACAAATGCGTTGTTATACTGCGTAACGTCACATAATATCTCAGAATGACTTTCTAGCCTGAGACCAGCACATAAGTGATCCCTTTACATTTTGCGCGTTTGATCTATATGAGTAAGTGGAAGACTTAAAGAAAAAGGTGAACGTTTATAAAGTTGTTTCCCGTGGATTGAAATTTAGGTCTTGAGTTCCTTCTGTTAGGGTTATGAAAGTATGTGGCCGAGTAGAGTGCGCATAAATGTTACCTTCTCCAGATTTTTAAGATGAAATTCCCGAGAGGTTAGCCACTATTGAGTAAACACTGCCTTTATGACCTCTTATCAGGTTATTTTAAAAACCCTATTTTATCGAACTTGCTTCCCTTTCCCTCCCTTTCTTGCCAAATCATATAAAGTAGCAACTGCCTAATAAACAAATTTAAATTTAACACCTTATTCCTTTCGAGCGGTCGCTCTTCAAAAGATTAGGCGGAGGTGGAGGAGGTGGTGGTGGGGCACCAGCTGTTGGTGGAAGAAGAGGTGCTGGCGGTGGATGGGAAGGAGTTGAAATTGCCGCTGGAGGTACAGCAGCCGTGGGAGGAACAGGAGCAATTCGAGATGGACTAGCACTTTGCTGCTGAAAAACAATAAATAAATTTAATTAATCTTCTATTCTAGACATCGTTTCACAAAAAATACAAAACTTAGCCTTTATTTACCCCAAAATAGCATCTTTTAAGTACGTTGCTCTTATTTGTTCTCAAATAGCCACTGTATTTAACTGGCTGACCTGTCCGTAGATAGTGCATGGCCCATTGGAAGATGATGTTGAGCTTTGAGATGATCGCCTTTGCTGATGACCGAGGGTAGGATTTCCTGGCACGCAATGAGAAGACTTCCTGTAAACGGTGAAGTTGACATATGAAAAAGCTACAGTTCCCATTCCAACTTTCCCCCAAAGTTGAAAATCCTTTCCCAGCAATTCAATAAAAATAGTGACATCTTGGCTAAATCTCAGTTATGTCGAATCAATCCAATTTCTTGGACGTATTATTAGTGAAAAGTCCCTTTTACAGTTTAAGAACAAATGAAAATCAGGTAGCTCGTTTAAAAAAAGCACAGTTCTCTCTATCTTAAAGTGATTTTCTTGAAAAAAAAACGGCGGAAATTGTTTTAAATGCATGAAATAACAAGAAGAGGACCTGAGTGAAAAAGCGAATACAATTGTGGCCAATCCAACACCGAAAACTGTTGAGAACGAAAACAATTCCAACCGCACCACGAGAATACATGCGCTTCCATGAGCACACAAGACCAACATCGACGACTTCGGCTTTACGGCATTAGCTCCACAGTACCTTCTCCTCCACGGATCTCCCTCATAGAGAGAGGAATCCCTTGCTGGTTAGTCGCGAGGCAACGTGGCGCGTCCGCAGGCGTCGGAGGGGGTTGGTCGCGGATCAAGAGCGAGATTATGCTTCCCTGAGATGCAGGTAGATCCAGGAAATCGTCTATCTGTTTCTATTACATCTATTTGACACGTAGCTTCTGCACTTATGAGGACGTATTCATGTATCGCTGCGTGGGTGCCTTCTTGTTTATACAGTTTGCATCATACGAATCAGTTTAGCTAAAAGTCTGCAGTCAAGTGACTGGGAAGCATATGGGAGGTGGTTAAGAGTCGCCTCCAACAAATAGGCTTCTCGACTACTCTAGGAGAGATTGACATACGGCCCATGAGTTTACCTAGTACCCACCTTCAGAGCTCAGCATGCTATACGCGGGTATCAAAAAGCTATAAAAGAAACGAGCTTCTTTCCCCTGGCTAAGAAAGAGCCCCTGATTCGACAGCGTTGGGTAGGACGAGTAAAGAGACGCCGCTAAAATCTCAGGGCCATTCTAAGCCGCCTAAATCGCAAAGAACTGAGGTGACCATCTGTGCCTACAATGCACTCACATTTTCCTCCGAGTCCTCGATAGAAGACTTGATCATGCAAGCAAGAAGGAAACGGTACGACATCATCGGCCTGCCCGAGACGAGACGATACCACCTATTCAACGCTGTCTATGACACCGGAGAAAAACTGTTCCTCGGAACATGCGACAGTAGAAGAATCGGCGGCGTCGGCATTCTCCTCAACACGAGTTTGTCCAAGAACAACGAATCATTCGAACAACTAACAACCCGAATCGGACGTTTACGATTGAAGAGATGTGGGTCAACAGCCACTTTTATAATGTTCATCGTTTATGCAACAACACTGAGCTATAACGAAGGCAAAGTCGAAGCGCTCTGTATTGACTTGGATAAGCATTACAGAGGAGGCAATACAGTTTTCAAGGTTACCACTGAAAATTTTAACTCTAAGATTGGACCAAGAAGAACGTCTGAAGAACGCCACATTGGGAGCGATAGATTAGAACAGAACGAGCAGGGTGAGCGGTTGCCCGAGTTTATCATGACGATGAACACCATCCATGGTAACTCGCAATTCCAGAAGCCCCACCCTCAACGCTGGACGTGGGAGTCTCCCAATGGAGAGTGTTATAACGAAGTAGGCCACATCATAGTAAATCGAAGGTTTTTTCTAACCGATATCGCTGTTGTCCCAAAATTCTACACCGGATCAGACGATCGCCACCTTCGTAAAAGGTTTTATTTCTTCTGGAAAGGAGAAAAAATCGATGAATTGAAAAAATGGACTTCCAAATTAAGCAATAAACTGGGATTTATTCAGTACATTAGTCGCCTGTTGGGAAGATGCCGTTCTTGATAGAATCGATAAGAAGTACGATCGGAGACTCATTCAGTGTCTTCACGTCAGCGCTATGAAAGCTGAGAATTCAAAAATCGCCAACAGATAGTCTGTCTCAGAAGTCCATAAAAACTCGGATTGGTACGCCAGCATGGGGGCGCACGAGCTACAAACAAGTATCGACTCACGTCAGAGCTTACAAAACAAGGCAGACAGACGATAAAAGATGTTAAGGAGAAAAGAGCTGCATTTATGATCGAAGCATTAGAGGCTGGGAAAAGCATTCGGAAAGCCCAACGAAGCTTCGCCAATTACCAAACCAAGATAATTGCACTCCGACGTCCAGATGGAACAGTTACAGTGTCAGAAAGGCAATCGAGAAAACCCCTAACGATTACTACTCGAATCTCTTCAATTATCACGTTCTCTTGCATTCATATGGAATAAAGGAAAATAGATGTCTTCTCCTTTGTTCTCCGTTCTCATTTCGGCATGTTATTTCGTCGGCGAAGAGTCGAGCAATATCTGGTTCACATAGAATAAAATCTGAACACCTGGAGGATGACCTCCACGATATCACCAACTATCGCCCAATCTGCTTGCTGTCCGTTGTGTACAAACGTTTCACTCGAGTCACACTAAACAGGACTGACAGAACGCTGGACGAAAGACAGCCATATCAGCAAGCAGGCTTGCGAAAAGGGTTCAGTACGATGGACCACATCCACACGATAACACAACTCATTGAAGTATCGCGAGAGTACAACAGACTGCCCTCTCTCTCTCACTTTCTTCGATTTAAAGAAACCTTTTAACTCATTTGAGATAGAAGCAGTCATGAACGCCGTAGACAGCCAGGGAGTACCTACCCAGTATAAAAAGATTCTTAATGAGCTATATAAAAGTTTCACAACCAAGATATCACCATTCTACAACGATGTTAGGATTAATGTCAACAAAGGAATTAGGCAAGGCGATATCATCTCGTCAAAATTATTTACCACCACCCTCGAGAACGTCAAGCGAACAATGGTAGGGGAGAACATTGAAGGAAAAGTCGATAGTCAGAATTTACATCACTTTCGCTTTGCTGATGACATCGTTTGTATAATATCAAGCATTATCCAAGCAGAACGGATGCTTGCCGACTTTGATAACGCCATCAGAAGGATTGGACTTCAACTAAATCTTACAGAAACGATCTTCATGAGAGACGGACTAGTTACGTGTGCCCCATTCAAGCTCAATGGAATAAATGTCTCCGAATACACTGCTTACATATTTCTGGGTCGGGAAAGCAACATGATGAGCGACTTAGCTCCAGAGATGAACAGGAGAAACCGAGCAGCTCGGGTAGCTTTCAAGAGCATCGGTGATGTAGTGAAGAGTAAAAAGACATTCGACTCCGTGCCCACTTTTTCGACTCCACAATCCTTCCTGCCTTAACGTTTGCGTCAGAAACCTGTTTGCTGCGTAGGCATGATGAAAGATCACTCAGCGTGAACGCGCAGTCGAAAGGACGATGCTTGGAGTATCCCGTTGCACACAAGTGAGGGAATGGGTGCGAAGATCCGATCGACGTTGACAATTAAAAATCAAAGACGCCGCTCAATATGCCAAATTGTCGAAGACATGATGAGCCGGACACGTAATTTGCATAAATAACTCAATACGATACTCGGATTGTCAAACGTAGTGCAGGAAGACAGTGGGCGGATAGTCCAGTGGTAATGATGTTGCTCACTACGAGCAGTGATGGTTCGATCCTGCTCCACGCTCACCAAGCCTCTCATCCTTTCGCAATCAGTGAATTGATATCGGACTTGACGGGGAAAAATCACTCTCTTCAATACTATTAGGAGCGCTCTAGCCCAGCTATCTCAGCACTCCAGGTAGAATCGACTCGACCAGCATTCTACGAAATTGAAGATGAAATGAAAATTCTGAATCATCAGCCGATGTCACAAGAAATTGTCCGAATTTTCAGGGTTCTGTCAGAGCTATCGATTTCTTCACAGGAGGATGTTAAGTTAAATTGAGCAACAGCGGTTGGAAATGAAATTACTGATGAATTTTTGAAGGGGTATAGCATACTTTGTTCTTTCAGATATAGTCCAGGCAGTAGGAGGCGGATAGCAGTGGTTGTGTTGCTGGCCATCCCAAGCATGCTGACAGTTCGATCCCACTCCGGACGAACCAAGCCTGTCATCCCCGCGGGGTCGAGAAGTTGGTACTGGACTTGTCCTGGAAGAAATCTCTCTGCAATCCAATTGCGAACGCTCCAGCCCGGTTATCTCAGAACTCCAGGGAGAATCGACTCGACCAACATTCTACGGCACTCAAGATGAAATGAAAATCGTCAAGCTGCAGCCGAAATCACGCGTAAAAGTTGGAAGATCTTCGTGGATGTTGGACGCGAGGAAACGAATCGAATGTGAGAAGTGCAGGGATCTGCACAACAGACGTGAAGACGAGTCGTATAAAATAAAATGAAACAAAATGAAATAAAATTAAATAGAATAAAAATCACACGAAGACTGCTAACACGATTTTCAGAGTTCTTCACGAAAACCTCAGAAGAAAGGTATGACGTTCAACGAGTCCCTACAACAAGCAGAACCCACTCTTGCATGCACAGGGAAAAATGGAACGGTATGACAGGTGACAGGTGAGGTGAAACATTCTCATATGAAAACACGTACCGATCCTCGAATCTTCTGTTAATCCAGAAGCTGAAATTATTCATTCAATTACTCCCTCCGCTTTTCTCGAGTCAAGCAAAGTGCAGAAGCAGTCTACACATGGTAACATGGTTTAAATGACGGACAGTGTTAAAAGCATCGCTGAACTCAACGCGTGAAATTACTATTCTTAACAAGGTGAGCTTTCCATATGATGCTAAACTCTCTCCGAATAGCATTTCTATCGACCAAATCACTAGATGACTAGTTAAACTAAAAGGAAGAGATAAGCTTCCGTTTAATCGGTTCTTTGTAAATTCAATAAGGAAAATTTTTAAGGGACGCGGGTAGCGCAGCGGTTGGAAGTGCCCTGCACGGGTTGCAGCGCTCACTTGATAGAACGGTAGGCCAACGAAAATCACTATAAAGTCCAGATAAGCATTCAGTCACCTCTAACGATGCTTAATGAAGTACAATGCACGGTGCATCCTACAAAGATTGATCAGCTCCGAAAGCTTTATTCTTCAGATTTATAATAAGAATTTTTAAATGAAACGTATCTGCTAACAGCTGGTCTATCATGAACTACTCTAATGCATCACCTATGTCGCAACCACCTCAATGATCGTCTCTGTCCATCACAGCATCATTTGTCGCAGATGGGAGCAGGAGGGAGGCTTCGCTTGTTTGCTAACCATCTATTGAAATTTTTGCATATCATGTGGTAAGGAATATATTGATAAAACAGGAAGGTCACTTAATGCCCGCATAAAAAGCACCTAGATGGGAAAATGCATTCATGACAACGCATAGTTTGGTACTAGGACGGTGATGGATCCTGGTATTGGTTTACTCTTAGTTGGGCTTCCTGATGGAAACGCCGAGTTCCTTCTCTGCTTGGGCGATCCTGCCACGGGGATGAACCTCACCGCTGTACACCGCAGTCCAACACCCATTAACACCTCCTAGCTACGATGAGGCGGTAAACCGTTGGGAGGCTTGCGACTGCGACTGATGTGCAAAAATTCACGAAAGTACAGCCGAGTATGGAAATTTCGCCAAAAACCATAAAGCACTCCGGAGAAGCAGATATTTACGAAGTAGATTCCAAAAAGAGGAGAAATTGAACCAACTGAATCTTCGAAAAGTAAAACTGCAAAAAGATATGGGATGAACAAGGAACGAATTGCTGAAGTCTGATGATTTCTAGAACGTTCTCACCGGAAACCACTTGATCTATCTTCAGAAATATCTAGTTGGCTAACCTAAAGCTAGGATTCATGGAATTCACGTGGTGATGTTGTGAGCCGTCCTCCTCTTCGCGAAACGTCGGCGCTGATTTGATATGAGACATCAAATGCTGATGCGGATCTTGGTAGACGTTATCTGCAAAATCACATCACTATTTTTTTCTGCTACTATTGTGAAGTATTTAAATTTGGACTGCATACATAGATACATATGTACACATGTACATACATACACATTTACATACACATACACACACAAACACGCACTCACATGCACACGCACGCTTACAATTTTTCCTCAGACAAGCTCAGTTTGCTCAGATAGCCAATAAGAGATAATGTCCATCATCAAAACCAAAGTTCGACGAGCTTGCAGAGCGAACGAGCACAGATGTTTCAGAATATTTGACTTAAAGAGTAGTGAGTCTATTGCAAAAGTTTCAGCTTGATCGATTAAAACGAGAATTTGAAACGAATTTATTAGTACCGAAAGATTTCACTTGTCGCAGATTTCGTACCAATCGACGACTCTGAATATCGAACATAGTTTTTAAATAATATTAATAAAATGATGGAGCGGGTTACGCACCGGCAGTGATGGCGTTCATCACCCGCATGGGGATTCATTCGAGTTGTCTTAGAATAGTCCACTCTCTGAAGTATAAAAGAGAACGCTCCAGCGTGACTATCCCAGGACTCTAAGGAGAACTGACTCGACCAGCATTCAACATTTATAAAGTTCATAATCCTCAAGGAACAGCCGAACCCATAGGTGAAAAGTTCGAAGACTTTCGTGGACGATGGGTGCAAGGAAACGACTACAATGCAGGAAGTACTGAGATCCGCATGGTAGACGTGAAGATCGTGAAAAAAAAACCCATAACAGATCTATAGGTGCTTCATGAAAATGGTTATTAAAAGTGGTATTAAATGTGAAACAGAAAGAAAACTTTGTAGACACCTCGATGAGATAAACATTTCGTATTATTTCAATCACTGCGAGAAATATGGAAAGTAGAACATTGGCATATCAAGTTTTACAAGGCGAGGTAAAGATACATAAACAGAGAAAACACGGTAACTTTCGGAAGAAGAGTTGTTCTGTACCATGAAAGGTCGTGCACAAAACAGAAACGATAGTTTTTTGTTAGATCCTATTATCACCAGTCGTTAATATACGCAATGATGAGAAACAGGATATCGAATTTGCATTTACACTTATTTATCTCGTTGAAGAGCGAAAATACATACAGCGCTAAGCGTTCACCTCCATGAAAGAGGTGATAAGCTATAAACCCGTTAGTCGCTAGGCTACGTAACGCGCCCCTTATTTACGGACAACGGGGTAGTACGAAGTGTTAAACGCAGGCAAAAGCGGAGCGCCGTTGATTCTAAGAAGCTGGTCGATCCATGCATGATCTTACTGCCTTTACACCGTCGGATTAACATACACCTTATCTGTGCATGTGATTCTATTCATGCATGTGTGTTTTATGTTTGCAAAGATATGCATATTGGCTTATACACAATGATTTAGCCAAAATCGTGTAACTAAGAGGTAAGTAAGTCATTGGAAGAAGTTTATGTTCGCCTCCAGCAAATAAACCACACGTCTACCCATCCCAGAAAACACTCTGAGAAGTTTACACGGCTCCTAGTAGACATGGCAAGGCAACATCATGACCCAATGACAAAATTGAGAAAACGTTTGAGCAGAAGAGAGCAGAACATCACCGTAATTCTTTAAACAACTGATATTTAGAACAGCGAAAATGTGAGGCAACTGCAACTTTAAGTCTTCTTCACCTGCAGCCTAAGCATTAAGCAAGGACAAAGTTAGATTCGAGGAATTCCATGAGGACAGAGAGAACTACTGCGAAACCATACATTTTGTACTTCATCGCGAGCGATTCTAGTGTAAACGGTATTTGCATCAAAACGCCGACAAAACATTGCGCTAGGACCTATGATCTTGAAAATAATGAACAACTCGTGTAATGCTGAGATATTTGCAAAACTCCGGACCGCAGGTGTCTGCGGTGGGGAACGAACGCGCTATTGTCCTTTCCGGGGAGTAACGCGTTCACCACCACACCATGCGGCTCCTTCGTTTCGCCTTTCTCTCACCCGCATTGTGGTTATATTTCAAATCATAACCTAGGCAGTAAATGCCATATACCTTGCCGTTAAAAAGAATAGGCAATAGATAAAAAGGTTAAGATTGTGATTATAACTATAGCCTCAGCTTAAATGGGTTCAATGCCGATTTGGGCTCTCCAGATCAATCCCGTTGACGGGTAACTGCTGATGGTAAGTGATCGATAGAACTAGCTGAGAGACAGACGAACCGATGGATCCGCATGGTGTGGTGGTGAACGCGTTACTCTCCGGAAAGGACAATAGTGCGTTCGTTCCCCACCGCAGACACCTGAAGTCCGGAGTTTTGCAAATATCTCAGCATTGTACGAGTTATATTTCGCAACATATCTTGCCATTAAAAAGAATAGGCAGTAAATAAAAAGGTTAAGACAATGAACAATGTCACAAGATATTTGAGCTGATAACAAGGCCAAACCATTCTCGACGTTCAACTTGGTAATTTCCTAATAGATTCTACCACCACGAAATTAACCTCACTAATGTCACTCAGAAGTTTTGTATAACAAGCTTCGCTGTTGTAGTAACGTTTTAAATATGATCGGACCACTCATTCCGTCGCATAAGACTCCCGCCCGCAGAAATGAACAAAAAGCCAGGAAAAAAATGAAAAAAAAGAGGAATTTCAGTGATAAACACAGTAGGTTTTTCATTAGTCGGTTATTTTTGAAAACTCTACAAAAAATTGAATGAGTAACGCGACTGTTTCGTGCAATATTTTCAGGATGGTTCTAGGAAGGTCAACATTTTGAAAGTCTCCAAAGGACGCTTGTCTTCGAAAACTCTCTGGCTGATTCGCTAAAGTGAGGTAGCATGACAGTCGCACTTCAAAATTTCGAAGCTTTGCATACGTACAAAATATATAAAAAAGACAATGCGTGCGCCAAAACTTTGCCAATAATACGACTAAAACATGCTATTTGCATTTCGACGAGGATACGGAACAGTCGCTAGATACAAAAAGACAAGGGGGATCATAATCCATGGCTTTTACCCTGATCTGTTCGATAACCAAGTACATCTACCACCATATATTTTACAACAGATAACGTGGATATACTATGCCAACGGTACTCTCGTCCGAACATCTACATATTATTCCAGTGGTGATGAAACATATGGAACCCGTTGTACAGGAATAGAATAAAAAACCCTTAAACCTTTCCAAACAGATGATTCTGACTTCCATACCATACTTAAAGACCTTCGGGTTATTGTTGAAGGCATTGATAAAGAGAAAACTAACTGAGAGAAAGACGAAAGAAAGAAACTGCAAGGTGTGGTGGTAAACGCGTTAGCCGCTGGAAAGGGTAATAGCGTGTTCGATACCCACCTCACACACCTTTGGTCCTGAGTTTTGCAAATATCTCAACATCACTGTGGTTGTACTTTCGACAGAGTCAATACACAAGCGTTCATGTGGCTCTGAACAACCACTGCTACTCCGCCAAGTGCACAGAAAATCATCAAGAATTGTATAACAACTTTACGACAAGATTTCCGTAATTCTTCAAAGACAAGGTTATCAATGTAGAAAAATTCCGATAAGCCACATCAAACGGAACCTCGCGAAAATTCGGCACAACTCGGGAGAACGTCTTGTGAAAATTGCAAATGCGATAGTAGAAAGAAAGCTATAATGGACATCAAAACCGCTTTCGTTACGCGGATAATCTCGTCCATATAACACGAGCATTAGCCTGGCAGAACGACTCAGCAATTCGACCGCAACACATAGAAGGAGCGATTTTTAGTTGAATCGAAGGGAACAATGTTCGTCGGAGACAGAACTACTTCTTCCCATTTACGCTTGGTGGAAAGAATATCTTCGAATGTTTCAGCTATGTGTATCTAGGTCGATAGGTCAAGACGACGAACGACTGAGGTCTATCACCGGGCCACGGATACCAAAAGGCGTGACTACAAAAACACTCTGGATACATATGGTATTATTCTGCAAAAAACGCCCGTGTGCTTGCCCATCTGTTTGGAGGAAGGAATCCATTGTTCTCACCCATGTTGGTTTATGTATATATGTATACATATATACATATGTATATGTGTATGAATATACACTCTATTGCAGTGGACACTGAGGTGTCTACCAGAGCCAATAAAGCACATACTGATTTCCAAAATTTCCATTGCACACTTTAGTTCACAGTAAACCTATGGCTGGAATTGCCGCCATGGGAGAACGGAAAGATTTTTGCTTCAAAAAGGCTGGCGACCACAATGACAACGACTTTCAAACGCCCATGCACGAGTTTCTCTCAATTGCAGGAATAGTGAGCTTGTCAAGCCAGAAGAACATCAGTTAGGTGGAAAATATGCTAAAACCGGCACCATTCTTTGTGAAGGCGCCCAGGCTGCACAAGTGCTTACTTCAAGTTAAGTATATAAATCACGGAAATGAGTTTGATAACAGAAGAAAACAAAGCTACGACAGGTCTCAACATTACGTTCCTAAATCGTGACAGAAGATAATACCAGCTTGACACTAACCAAATGATATTCAATAATCAAGTCAGTCCTCGTTATCAACTAACTCATTTCGATAGCTTAGCGACTATGTTTGGTACTAAAAGTTTGTTCAGGTGTATGAGCGTAATGTCACGACTTGCCAACCTCAAATCACGCAAAAAAGAAACTGTAGAAAGCTGAATAATCATAACCAAACGGATAAAATCGGAAAAAAGAAAAGCCATTTTCCATCTTATCAACTGAAACCAAACCACACCGTTTGGGACCTGGTATTCCCCGCTGTGTAGAAATTGGTGATTAAGATAGTCAATCGCTTGACCGACTGCGGATACGAAATCACGGGCTTCTTTTTCTGAGGAGAAATTCAGACCATACACCTGTAAATGACAGTCACTACAAGTAAGAATTCAATGGTGACGTTAAAAAGAGTAGCCATTCGAAGAAAAAAAGTCTAAGTTACAACAACAAAGTTACAACAGTACCACATCTGGGCACGGTCTCCAATTTATTTACTTCCACTCTGTTTATACTGTTTTGCCAAAAGCACAGACAAATCGATTGTTTATGGTTGGAAAGATGGTTTCACATCATTTACTGACTATTTAAGAAAGGAAATAAAACAAACCTGTCGTTGCTCGTCCCTCCATTGATGGAAGGTCGGCGTAGCAGTGTGATATTTGAGTTTGTGGTGAATATTGCAGTTCAACAGCCAGGCTCCATCCTTAATTAATCGCAATTCATTAAGTAGGGATGATCGGAAAAGTGAACTACAAATGTATACAAATATTCCCCATAAGGTTATTTCGATAGATTATCCGGGTTCAGAAATACTTTGAAAAGGAAAAACCTGCTCTCTGATCGCAATGATTCGAAACGTTCGCCGTGTGGTGTTGTGCAGAATCTGAACAGTGGATATCTGTCCATCACCGCCATCCGGAGCTTGCCACTTCTTGCGACCCTCGTTGTAGACCATCACCTCGGCCGCTGCTGCAGCCAGCGACGATTCACTGAACAATGAAAGTTACGCACCTCCAACTTTTAAAACGCAAATTGAAACAAAAAAAATTACCAAAAAAGTTTTAAAAAGTATTATCTTCGGGAATTCCTCATGAAAACCAAGGATATGATACCTACACTGACTTCAAACTAAGAAGAAAATATCAGCCATTCTTGCGATATCATATCAGGTAAAATTTTAACCCCACGTACTTATAACTATTCAATTACCGCAACCCTGAAAACTAGACAAGACATCATTATTGCCAAGCGAAAGGCAAAACTGTAAAAAGCACAGTTAAACGTCAGCAAATTACAAGCTTAGGTTGAGCCCACGGAAAGGGTAAACGCGGAAGCAGTTCATGTTATAAAACTGTCTCCCAAACTGATTTGCACCACATCCCGAGTATTCTTGCTGTAAACCAGTTGACCCCGTTGCATGATTCTCACAAAACTGAGCTGATTTCGTTAAGAGAAAGAAGCCAGCTCAAATCTGAAATAGTGTCTGCAACAATCCTTCTTTCAGTATCCACTAAGAAACCCATATTTCAGCTTTACGGAGCAACTCAGACTATGGTCACCATCTCGAAATTGCGGGTTAGTTAGTATCACGGTAACATTTGCGATATGTGATATCGTCATTGGAAACCTCTCTGCATACAATGAATGTCCTTTTTTCATTTCGTGATACGTTATTGCCTTTCCAGAAAAAAAAGAGCGGAATACTTTGATGACGTCACTTAATTCCTTTCAGGAAGACAAACAACTTCAATTAATCAAGCGGAGCCAACGATTGCTCATCTCTTCAGATTTCTTAATTCCCATGTCTCATGAAGTTTATCTATCACAAGGAACGCGCATACTCACATTTTTCAAGTCTCTTAACCGAACATTTGGCGCTTCCTCAACGCAAACGAACACAACAATTGAAAGCGATGCCTGCTCGCCGTTGTTTGAATGACGTTGTTAGTGTGAAATCTTCTAGAATAACAGTACCTGCTTTTGCTTCCGTTACCGTTTCGTTTACATGTGTGATTCCAACAACTTATAAAGCGAAACCGGTTTATCCGCGACGGAAAAGCACTCTGCTACTATTAGAGGCGTGTCTGAGTCTGTTAGATAAATGAAAACCTTTTCACTAATCGTAGAACGCCTAAGGTCCACCTCAAAAAGGATGTGATGATTGTGATTGTGATGATGTGATTCATTATGGTCAGAATAACCCCGATGCTTGACAAAAGCGAGTACAAAATCATTCCAATCAAAGTTGGATCGCTGTACCTTATAAGGAACGGAAGTTCGTTTCTGACAATATAAGGATTAGTTTGAAAAAAATCCAACATCTTCTTTCCCTACTAAAGTGGATTTATTTGTTAGACCTATACTCGATATCAAAACTTATATAGAAGATGAGGTAAAGAAGGATCCTCATATCTGGCTACAATTGCTGTCATAGTAGTCATGGAGGGCTTTTAGTAAACCACTGAACGTATTTAGAACTATGTACACTTCTAGTCGGCCCATAAAGAAACTCGGTAGTTCAGATAGAACCTATTAACGGTTTTGTTCCATTCATTTAGCCAAGCGTCAACAAAGAAACTTCGAGAGATTGCTATCTACGAGAACAAGTCGCTGCTGTTTCAAAGTGAACCGCCAGTGCAATAAAATACGGCAACCACGTCGCAGATGAATTCGCTCGGCTCCGACCGACATCACGCGATCGAAAGCGGACTGACAGTTCCGACCGGCTTCACGACTGATCCCAGCGAATTCGGAAGAGCGAAAAAACTGCCTAGACACAAAGCAAATCATCGATTTATAAATCGCGGTCAACCTAACCAATGTGAGTGGAACGTTTAAGTGCGCCTCTCACCGCTATAAAAGGGTCTACATCGTGCAGATATATGAGAGACGATCCAAGAGACCTACGATCCTATCTACCTATAGTTTTGGTAATGGATTTTAAAAGACCATCAAGTTCAAAGAGCGAAGATTCCTTGTGTGATGCAGCCACTCTGTTTGAAATGTCCTTGGGTTTACGGGCAGGCGACTCACAAAATTCGCTGACCATAGCTCACATTGTTGACATAGGCTAATGCGATAACTTGATCATTCTGGCCCTTGATTGCATCCATCTAACCCGGTGAAAATGGTTCCAGCATGTCACTTACAAACCATCAAAGCATCACTAGCTGTTCTCGTGAGAAAGTTCACGTAGGATACCAACAGAATTATTATATAAAAGACGGAAAACTAGGATATGGAGCCAACTCTGTGGAAAGAAGCGTATGCTAAGAGCCGTTGAAGAAACGGGGTGACCTCGAATTTTACTAGAGAAATACAGCGATACTCTTTCACACCTCTATGTACTATTTTGGCTAGTGACAAATACGAACAAACAAAAAGTGACGCATATTTTATGTGGTGTTATATCGTGCTGGCTCTCTTAAATGTGTCCACCAAGTTTCTACGTAATCACGTTGAGTTCACGATTGCCTCACTCTCGTAAAGTCAGGACCACAAAAATCAGGGTAAAGCCAGAATTTTAGTTACATTCATATAATGCCAGCTTCACGTAGTGATTACGATACCGATTAGTGACAAGGAGCTCTTATCGAGAAAAGCGAGCCTGTTTTGCCATCGAGTATCGCTGAAATCTGTCAGCATGTCACAGAAAAGACGCTGTCGGTGAGATTTGCTCATTGCAACGTTCTCCTTCGCCTCCCTCCTTGGATAAGCGCCAGTGGTCATCTCGCGCTTCCCTCAGTCACTCCAAGTAGCCGATCGATAGTGAGGAGCGGTCACCACCAGGACACGGAAAGAACGCGTCCCCACCATCCACCAGCTCTCTCGCAGCCTCGGCTTCATCCGTATGTATCGCAAAATTTCCGGCAGCAAACCATCGAGCACTGGGCTAGGTTGGAACTCAGGTTTATCAGTAGTAGATGGCAAGGCCAGAGAAGGATCGAGAGAATGCAGTTGGATTTGTGTAAGGAAAAGTCTGAACAGCGATAGATAACCTGGAAAAAACGCGCAAAGAAATCATTCTATCTAAGAACTTAAGATAGGGAGCTTTTGCTAAGCAGAAAACTATGACATTTGACACCGCTTTCAGTGCAGGTCAAAATGTGCCCAGTTATTTGAAGATTACGGCATTTGAGTACGTTGTTCTCTTCACTGCGACGCTACATGACAACTTGTGAGCTCCGCTTCAAGGAATAATCCTTCTAACTGGCACCAAACAAAGACTCCCACATCATCTTTCTATGATGCTGAGGTGCTGGCGTCTTACAGATTGTCAAATGGTCGCACGCGAACACCGTGCTAAAAAACACTCAGATCGGGGCGATTGTCATTTACAACTTCAGCGATACAAAAGCATTTTACGGTGGTTAATACGGTGAAGTAAAAGAAAGCAACAGCCAGAAGCACAGATCTTGAGTGAGAAAGAACCTAGGCAGGAAGGACGTTGAACGAATTCCGAACTTCAGATGACATCGAATAAAACACCAAATTTAGCTTAAATAGAAATAAATTTCCTGACTTACCCCATTTTTGCCACAAATAGGTCTAGACGCCGGCCACCTGTATGGAATAGATTTTAGTAAAAATTTTGCTTAGTAATGTTGATGAATATCCAGCGGTATGTCCTCCATTAGCACAACAGCATAACTTTGGCCTGAAAGGTGTGTGATGAAAAGATAAAGTAGCGACAGGAGCTTGAAACACACGGCGAGAGAATCCCGAAGCAAAATAAGATTGCATAAAATACACACTGTACTATATGCACTAAAAGTTCCACCAGACTAAATAAGTAGTGAATACAGCTTTATACCAAACCTTAGGCCTTTCTTGCACAATTCAGATGGTTACATCTGTCGCTATGTAAACCAATCAGAGCGATGGTCGATGAGAATGTTCATGAAACAGGGGTCAAACAAAAACTGTGGGAGTTAAGAAAATGTCAGGTTTTCTTTAGATGTAAACCAGTATGGTATAACAACGTAGTAAAGAGAATACAAGTAATGCTGTAATGAACGGGAAAACGTTGGAAGTACCTGTAAAAAACTCAACACTACATTGAATTTGAAAGAACCACCACAAGCACCGACAGTGAAATCCGGTGAGCTCTGGTTAAAAGTGGTAAAAGAAGGATACTGCATATGAAAACTGTAGTTCGTGATAGTTGAAAAGGTTAAGCTTACACTTTTACCCTTTTCTTGACATATCTGATCCAGATGACGATTGCTAACTACGTGATATTAACAGATCCGTATGTTGAAAACTGAACTTGAACTGATTAGTTCGCTTTCCCTACCATCCCTAAGCACCATCGCCAACTCATCATGTCAATTTTACCAAGCCTGAAATGCAAGAGAATACAAAAGTAATGCCCAAGAGGTGGACGAAAAATGAGGAATGATAACTAAAATGGAACGAAAACAACGAAGCTATAAGGTGTATAAGGTGCACAGGAATGAAAACGGAGAGATGACATGATATGGAGAAGAAGAATGAAGACATGACAGCTCACTTGCTGAGTGACTTCCGCCGATGCTTTATCTGACCAGATATCTACGAAAACGTGTGCAATCCAGCAGAACAGGGTACAAGAAAACCACCGGCGGTAGGGTTCCAGCTTTATTGCCACAAAAATTAAGCCCAGTTAGAGACGAAAAAATTCTACTTTCCGAATTCTAATTGTTCTAGAAATTCCATTTCTTAATTACCTTTAATCAATTATCTCATTTAATTTTTAATTCTTCCCTTAATTACTTCTTAGTTTTAGTTTTGTTGTCAAATTATAACTTCTTCAAAATAATTCTTCAGAAAATTTGCTTTCCAATAGAATTATCCTCAACTCCGTGAATGGACCACTAAACACTTCAAAATACAGGGCCAGAGGAAAAAAAAGTCTTCTGGGACAGTAGTCCTGGTAGGCGACAGCTGGGACAACGGTAGTTGAAATAGCCAAGGGTCAATAGTTATCGACATTAAGATTAGCATGATGAGAACGTACCAAGATTACAATGAGAGTAGGCCATCAATGGCGGTGTTTACGCAGCTAGCAGTGAGTATTCAGTTACTAGCCTGAACCCTAAACCAGGAACGCTAAGTGGAACAGAGAAAGACAACAAAAGATGTTAAGAAGCATGAAATAAAGTAATTTTTCCTCAAATCCGACCTCGATTACTAATTTCAAGCCTCTAGACATTAAAAGCGAAAACAGCTAAGAACAAATGAGTCAATGAACGTGAACCCTGGACAGAGGTTAACAATCAATGGCAGATAAGACGTAACGGCGCTTACGAATTCGTTCGACTCGACCGTATGACTCAGCTATGAGACTCTTTTGATTACTAATGCAATCTAATCACCTCCAAACCTTCGTTTTTCTGTGTTCCCAAGTTTAAAAATGATAGTGGAGAAGAAAACGTAAGTTTCACTTGCGTAAATGAACAAAGAATAACGATAATAAGAAAGTCTACACTTGGTGAAAATCTGTGCTCTGCAAACGGCAAGTGCTTCGTACCAATGGAGTTCATAAAAACGTTGTTAACTCTATACATCAAATTGCTTAAGAAGCGCGGTGATCAGAAATGCCGTGCAATAATACAGGTCAGGTCACTGGTTTGACACGACACCAGGGCAACTGAGCCTCTCATCTCCGGGGTTTCAGAGAAGGGCTATCAGGCCTCTCTAAAGGAGCGTCTTCTAGTCCGCAAAGACTGGCGACTACGTGTGCTGCGGACCTGCGAACGAGTAAGCACAACTATCACAGAACTACAGAGACAATCTACACGACCAGCATTCAACGGCATTCATAAAGAACATCAAAAGCTCAAGCAGCAGCGTACTCTAGATTCAAATCGAAATACATCTGTGGGTGACGAACGCGAGAAAAACGAATCGAAGGGAAAAGGTGCTGGGATGAACGCGCTATGCGATGGTGGGTGCAAATCTTTAAAAAAAAAGTGTATTAAGTCATAGCGCACAGTTAAAAACATCTTTTCAACAATGTCGTTCGGGAATCAGTTCTGAAAGATGAGGGTGACTGTGAGATGGTCGACAGTGGGCGAACGGATGGCGCAGACCGGCCCACGAAGCAGACCAGCCATGACGAAGCTTCGGCACTGAGTCACGACTACCCCAATCCCCCAGCAGGACCATTGAAGACCATGAGTGTTGTTGTTTTCTAGAGTCAATCTTGGATTGGGTGAAAGTTAGACTATTTCTCGATGGAATTTGCCATAGAATCCAAAATAATAGAATGACGTTAAAAATTTGCATTTGAATAGACTAGAATACTCAGTCAAAGTGCTTAGTTGGCAGCATTTCTGACATGGAGACAGAAAAAATCGAAGGTATCGCATCAATGAAGTAATAACCGTCACTAGGGATGCTCCCTATAGATTATGACGTAAGAACAAAGCTTTCATTATAAGCCGATATTGTTCTCAACTTTGATCGATGTGAAGTCCAGCAGCATTAGTATCACTCGCTTGTCAGACTTTGAGTGACAAGGAAATCCTTACGGGAGTATTGGGTGAGATTTCACAAAAAAAGACTACTGAGAGGAACAGAATAGAACCTAAGCTCTTTCAAAGAGGGAGAAATAAGGACGGAGGTGACGAGTGGATAGCAAATCATCATGATTAATGTCCAGCTGCTCTCACTATACCGAAAAGTCGTTGCTTTGAGGGCGCGCATGGTCGTTAATCGACTAATGAACAACTCGTTCCGAAGCAATTGACACATACTTCGGCAAACGAGCACTAACAAATCAGAGATTTAAATGAGACCGGTCAAAATTCGTCGAATTGTCAACTAACTGAAGAGGAGAAATGGAAGAGAAATGGAGATTTGAAGTAGCGATTTCAGTGTGAGCTACATATTTCGAAAGGAAACAACACAGAAGAATGCAATGGGAAAGAAGGAACTTCGTTTTGGTCACGTACGGAATTCATACAATGCATTTCGTGGAATGGGAATTCTATTCAACATTCAAAAAAGGATACTGTATTGCAAAAAAAAATAACACCGGATAGTTAGCTCGGTTTCAGATCAGAAATCAAACTCCTGATTAATCACTATGCTTATGTCAACTGCAATTTGGGAATAATGATACCTTTAG